AATACGGAAGATACGAGGGTCGTAGTTGGGGAGTAGTTGTGGAGGTGCGCAGGAACGGGAATATTTGTTGGGATCAGCAGGAATTCCTTATTCGTTGAGGGGTACAAATGAATACCGGTGATACGAGGGTCGCAGTCGGGGAATAATAAAGCTACGCTGATTTTTTTTTGATACGGAAATACGGTCGGGGGTACAAAAGGGAATAACGCTGCGTAACGCGACAGCGTTTTTTTTTTTTTTTTTTTTGTTTCCCTCCGCGATAGCGTTTCGAGGCCGAGGGACTGGTCTACGTAGGTAATGAGTGCGCGCGATGCTTCAAAAACGTGTCAGCAGGAAATTTCGCGCGGTAAGGTACCGACGATTTCGGGAAGGATTTCAGCTCCGGAAGACGGAACTACGGGACCACCTTTAAGAAAAAAAAAAAAAAACCCTACGGGACCAGGCAAGGGCGGGAAGTCGGGTTGACGTAGTGGCCCAGCTATCGGCCGCGGGAAAAAATAGAGTAGAAACGTTTCTACCGGTAGTTGGATGAATTTGGGTTGACGTAGTGGCCCAGCTATCGGCCGCGGGAAAACATAGAGTAGAAACGTTTTTACCGGTAGTTGGATGAATTTTGGGCGCGCCTGTGTAGTGGCCGGTACGTTTCCTGAAATCGTGGCGCGTTACCGGGCACGACTTCAGGAAGTACTGGTGGTAGTACACGAGACCTGTAGGAACTAACCATCTCGAATTTCCCCCCTGAGGAGGTCACGTACTGGCGGTGACCGAAACTATAGTAGGGGACGGCAGGCGCTTCCCTCTTCGTAGTATAAGCACACTAGAACTAGACTTGTACGAATTGACCATCTCGAATCTCCCCCCTGATGAGGTCACTTACACTAGTTACTGTAAGGGATGGGCAGGCGCTTCCCTCTTCGTAGTATAAGCACACTAGAACTAGACTTGTAGGAATTGATCATCTCGAATCTCCCCGCTGATGAGGTCACTCACTGGCGGTGACCGAAATAGACTTGTAGGAAGGTAGCCATCCCGAATCTGCCCCCTGATGAGGTCACTCACTGGCCGTGACCGAAACTAGTAGGGGATGGCCAGGCGCTTTGCTCTTGGGCTTCACTCCGACTTGGCGACGTGAGGGAGGCGATGCCTTCTTTGCCAAAGCTAGCTATGGCTTATTGTGCTGCAAAGATATTATTCTTCGTTTTCTATTGTTAGAGATTGTTTCACATACGTGCGCCGTGCTAATCGCGGTTATGTGGCTTTGCGTGTTCGTCAGACTTCTTCGTTCTGGCTTTGCTCTTCTTCACAACAGGCCGGCCAGTTGCAACTGCACTCAGGCCACCACACCCCTCATGCGATTTGCTTTTATTTGCGAAATTTACACCCTTTTTTTGCGGGCGGAGCCGCAACAGGTAAGCTTTGTAGTCAGCCATAAGCTGCCTTACTTAGTGTAGTGTAGGAGAGAGGGTATCAGAAGCGTTGTGCGGGCAGGTGTGGTAGGTACATTATGTAGATAAGACACCATAACAGTAGTCGCTGACGTGAGTCGATTGAGTGATCGATCGATTGATTTGTTGGATTGCTTAATTTATTGATTATTTGTTTGGTAGCCTATGTTGGACAGTTGAGAGGTGAAAAGGATGTTCACTGTATAGTAAGGGCGGAGAGGAGGATCATCGTTTCCACCGCCGAGGAGGAAGGACCGACTCGCAGTGAGTTGACTGCTGCATGACACGTTTCGAAGACTGGGGGAACTTGTCAGCGTCTTGATCGACGCAGTGGTGGAGTGTTTGATGCAACATCGGTGGGAACGAGTCTTTACCGCACACAGCGGGGGGGTTCCCCCCTCCGACGAATGCCTTGGGTTAATTCGATAGTCATCTGTGTCACATCCTCGTTCACTTTGTAGGTAGCCAGGCCCTTGGGGGGCTATCTTTGTTTATTGCCTAGCGTGTCACCTCTCGGTACACGCACAGCCGTTTCTCTCGTTGTCTTCGTCTCGCTCCTATATCCTGACATAGTGCCAAGTGACATTCTTCTATTCTTACCCCTGTGATAAATACGTACATACACCCACACACTCCCCCCCCCACCACCACCACCACACACACACACACACAGACACACACACACAGAGACACACACACACACACACAGAGAGAGAGAGAGAGAGAGAGAGAGAGAGAGAGAGAGAGAGAGAGAGAGAGAGAGAGAGAGAGAGAGAGAGAGAGAGAGGTGCCCGAAATAGCCAAGTATATACAACGGGTAATACTGGCGGGCGAGGAGATCAAGGCGGGGTGGTTAAGAGGATGACCGAGGCTGGAGGGTTAAAAAGGATAAAGGAGATGGGATATGGCTAGTGTGTGACAAAGACATTTGTGACGTGAATTAGGCAGCTCAGTGCCGTGGCATGTGTGAGAAAGACAGGTCGACTACGTGGCATAGCGAAGTGTGTGACGTGTCCAGAAGGAAGGTCCGCGAAGCGCCGGCGACTCCAGAAACGTGTCATCGCCCTTCGATTGTAAAGAGGGTACTCGCATACGCATGCTCTTGCGTTATTTAGCTGTTCCGAAGACTATAGTTAGGGCCTCGTCCCACTACTCTAGACTCCTGAACTGAAAATTCGAGAGTAACGCCTCGCTCCACTTACTCTAGACTTGCACTCACGAGAAAGACCCTTCAAGAGCTGTCAGAAAGCACTCTGGAAGAGCACTCTCGACGAGTCTAGAGTTCACACTCTGCACCGTGACGGTTTTCTAGCGTCATCCCTTTCTAGCATGATCCCTCCTACCCCCGCGGCGGCCTCTTTTTCTCACAAGTGCACCTCCAGTCCCGGCCGCTAGAACAGGCTGGCGCTGCCAGCCTGCACCGTGATGGTTTTCTAGCGTGATCCCTTTCTAGCATGAGTGCACCTCCAGTCCTGGCCCTCAGAACAGGCTGGCGCTGCCTCGTTGTGCTGTTGACTCTGTCTCGTAGTGCTCTTGAATCGCTCACGAAAACCGTGAGTGCTTCTAGAGTTCTTCTTTAAGCACTAGAAGTGCTCTTGACTCTAGAGTTCGTGAGTTAAGAGTAAGTGGAGGGAGGCCACTGTTTTCTCGAAAGTTTTAGGCCTCTGACAGCTCTAGAAGCACTCACAAAATTTTTCGTGAGTCTGGTGTAGTGGAGCGAGGCCCTTACCTACCGGTAGCTGTTTTCAAGAAGATAGTTCGGAGTCCGACAGTACAGCTTTTCGTTGTCTAGTCTGGTAGGTGATATGGTAAAGTCTCTGGACACATCCGTGCTATGGAATGACACATCTGTCAAAACGAGTCCGTGCATCTATATGGAACCTTACAGGGGCTGAAATGGGGCTACTACTCAATGAGGTATAATCATACGGAACCTAAGTACGATCTTTTGTCAATTCGTATTGCTGGGTACATCTAGTAGAACAGCGTGGATGCAGTGATTATGGTCGTGTCAAAAGGTGAATGACACCAAGGCGGCAGATACCCACGTCTTTTCTTGCCTTTTCGTTCGTTCGCAGCGCTAAAAATATACGTGTCCAGTATCCCCTGCACTTTTGACAGAGTTGACAGAGTTTTGGGTGTAGCAACACTGGTAATTGTAGGCCTGAGAAGGGTATCGCGGATAAGGGGAGAGAGAGAGAGAGAGAGAGA